GGTTCCAGGAGATGCATACAAATTGCTGCACTCTTATAGAATGTGATGGTGAAGCACTGACAATGACCGCAGCGAGCCTCTATACTAGCTTCCTGAGAAAAAACTATCCCCGTACGAACGCAACAGATAAGACTTCTAGAACGGAGCCGTGCTGTGGCCAAGGAATGAAATCGCTAAAAACCACGCAGTTTAGACAGAAAATATCTCATCATTCCAACGCCCATCAAGCCTCGCGGGTACATGATAGCAGCACCAACAATGACAATTATCCACATAACATAACGCACACTCATTGAGATTTATTAAACAATGGGCTGACCATTAATCATTAATATCTTTTCTGCAGGACTATTGTTACCAGCGTAGCTGAATTTACAAACTCCTTCGTTCGCAAGGTTTCAACCCAAACGAGACACATTTTTTCTTAGAAGTCTCCAAATCCCCCCAGCACTTGTCTGCGAAACTCCGAGAGTGCACCACAGTCCACATACCTCCCGCCTTCCTTCCAAGGAAAATGATTTCTAAAGTCGAGATTGATCCCTGGTTGTATTTCCGAACCCACAATTCAAACATAATCTGCCTGTTCTACGAGTGTGTGGATGTTGTCTTCCCGGTCTGATAGTCGATATTCCTCCACAACAAGACTGCTGATAATATGAAGCTTTGATGTGTATACGTTCGCGAAGTAGATAGTATCAGCTGTGTTCTAATTGGCGTCTCAGTTGAAGGGGATCTTAGGCTATCTCTTTGTGGAGTCGTGGTTGTCTCGAAAAATGATTATGCGATGAGAACGAGCGAGTCAATCTCGGAAGAGAAGTTGTCATAAAACTTGTACTTGGTTCGGATTGTTTTGTGCTCTGATTTCCGATCTTCAAAACGTTAGCTTCACCTTTCCAAATCATAATCAGACTGTTTTGCAGTTCAATCTGACTGAACCTCCCTTTTGGCGCTCACCTTTCAGACTTGGATTACATTGTGCATCAATACCATTCCCTGACCCAGAGCCATCTCCTAGTCGGCATGACGGCTGTCAAGTCCAGCGTAGAAGAGCTCGCACTGCCGTTAACCAGAAACTCAAAGAATCCATATTTGAAGCCCTTATGCGTGATGAATTTTTAGCTATGTATCTTAATTCTCGAGTCCCATAACTGCGCAATGGTCATGATCGCGGTCCCTATTGCTCGAATCCTTCGCCGTTGGCGCATGTTGAACTCAGCGAGTGGGCGGTAGATATTTTTTGGTGACATTCGACTAATGCTACAAAAGTTTGACCTTGTGACGAACATTTCCGATTTTGAAGAACAATCTAAAAGAAGGAATCTTTCGGCTCGATCCACCTGACTGCGGTTACTGCTGCAGGGAATTGAGAGCACACGGAAGATTTAATTGTCCAGCGAGTATTTTCAAATGTAAAAAGTGAGCATCTGTGAAAAACGAAGCTGCCCACATCGCAAAAGATGGGTTTTCTGCCTTAGATAACAGATCATACCTGAAGAAAGAGGGCATAAAGCAGTATCAAATGCAATGGTGATTTTTTGTTCGGGCTTTTGGGCGACCGATTTTTTGCTCAAAAAAGAGCGGTTGGTGAAGAAACTCGAGGAATTCCCAATCAAGCAAGACCAGAAAACTTTCATTAACTGGCGAGCTGCATCGAAAGAAAAGTTAAAAGAGTTATCGAGAAGGATAGGACCGGATACTGTGAGAAGGCATTCGGTTCCGAGCCAAGGTACCAACAACACCAAGAGTCATCATAAGACAAACATTGTGTACTGTTGAGAAAGAGTCAGCAAAGTCTTCAGACAATTCTGTGCAGCGATTTCTAAAGTGAAGACCGAGCGCATCAAGATAATCTCACAACTGAGTTGCGACCTTACTTGCGACCAAGGTGTCTATCGTGGAAAACAAAGGCGTATTCGACCTCTGTCATGAACTGCTCGGCGCAAAGAAAAAAGCCCTCAACATAATACTAAAAACAATGGAAAAGAAGGAGTGTCCTTACATGTTGGTATTCTTGGTCTAGGGAAGGAAGGAAGAAAATCGAGAGGTGTAAGATTTCGTTTTAATAGTGTGCGGAATTATCGAAGCGGGTCACGTGATTACAAGCTACGCTAGTAATTGAACAAATCACAAGAATTCTAACATTTCTGTCCCTGGTTGGCTTCTGCACGCAGTGAAGGTGATTTTATAAGGCCTCATATTTGGCTGTTCCAGTGAAGTCTCAGTTTATCGTCACTATTTTCATGCCAGATTTGGAATATGTGTTGCAACGCGATTTGACAATGACAACCACTTCAAGTGATAGCAAGACCAATCGCAACGAATATTTTACTTGCAGTCCTATGATTTGGATCAGAGAAGGAAAAATTAGTTAATACTAAGCAGACTTATTTGTTGTATCTCGAAATTGATCAGATCACTTTTTCTTCAATCCTAATTCATGTCAATGACAACTTTCAAAAGCACAAATCCTGCAGCCAGCACTTACAACCCCCAAGAATTACAAAAATGGCGTAGAGAATTCAACCCCCGTTACTCGAGTAGGGTAGCAAGAACTTGTGAAGAAAACTGACATAAAACACACAGCAAGAGCTACAGTGATGACCACAAGCTATTGATCTACTTGTGAATATTACAAGAATATGCTTCGACCCAAGAACTTTCAATTATAGTCAAGAACTAACTAACCAGGTCTTTGCTATGATCGCAAGTCTTACAGTCAGTTTTATGGAGTCTGGTCTTGTTCTAGACTTCGCTATTAGTCGATACAAGAAGATATTAAAGTATACTGAGATTTGGGAGAGATTGGCGGGGAGAAATAAGCAGGTGTCTACTACTATCCCTATAAAATTCGGGGAATACATCGATGACCTCTGAATTGGCAAAGCTAAATTGCTTGTCCGGCCCACTATCACGGCTATTATGCTCCTAATAATGCTCAATAGACAAGCATAATGGGTAAGTGATTCAGCCTCTTCAACTTGAGACGCATTAGTCTCATTATTTATTCCAAATATTCAGGCGTTCCGAAGTGCTCTGTGTGCTGCTATGCGTTCGATCAACAATTGCATTGTAATATAGCTATATCAATTTTAAAGAACGACGATAATGGCAAGCCAATTCCGTCGTCTCAAGTCTGCTTGACGTAAAACAGACATTGACAATAGCAACAAAGAGAGGAAGCAGCAGCAGTAAAAGATGACACTTTCAACTTCAAAAATAATTGTTGATAATAAATAAATACCAAGCAACAACACATGACTACAGAACTGTCTAGTCAAGATTTGCTGATAGATGCATGATACCTGAGGTAAAATGTGAAAATTCCAAACTATGAAACAAAAATTAAAGCACCTGCAAGGTGATCTGGGAACACCATCTTGTCATCTTGTGTATGTTGTAACTACCCATCCACAGAAGCAGATGCATGATCTTACTCGCGATTTTTATATCAAGAGCAAAATGGCAGCAGTGAAAACAGCGAGCACTAGCTCTCGAAGAATTATCCACCCCCTCAAAGCGTAGACTTGACATTTATTCCCTTCCATCCTCGTGCCAACTACCTAGCCATCATCATCTGTCCCTCTCTCCATAGCCTCACATTCCTCTACTCGCCTCTTGCATCTCCCGTCTTAAAATCCCTTTCTAACAAGATAGCAAAGAATACACGTTCCCTATTGGCAGTTCATTACACAATCTGTAGCTCCCATAGCGCCATAGCATCTGCCGACACCCTGGCACACATCGTCCGTAGATGTCCACCAATTATTACATACGCTCCCCATCTATTTATTATCCAACCCATCAATCTCAAAATCCCTCTCATAATGGCAATCCGAACCCATACTGATACCCATCTCATACCCAAAGGAAAGCAAACTCACAACATCTGCAGCAAAAATCACGTGAAATTCTCAGCTGACATTCATCAAACTTCTTGTGACCTCATCGTCTCAATCTGCTCCTAGTTACCACCAAATTAAATCAATAAATAAGCATAGATCGAGAAATCACTCAAACTTTAGAGGTGTTGGCTCCTTACAAGTCACCAACTATAAACGTCCGAATGTCATTTTCAACTCTCGATAAGGTTCTTTCAGCACAAGTAAAAAGCCACTTGGCTATTTCCCCTAGAAGTCTTGGAAGATTCACTTATCTGTCACTCCAAACCCGCTTCTGTAGTGAGTATTATCCAGACCACATCCTTAAGATTTTCCGACATTTCCTCTATCTCCTCACTTAAACACTTTCCCGGATGACGCTTTCGGACTGTACCAGGACTCAGGCACCTTATAATTGTATCAAATGGCAACCAAGTGGAAAGGAGATGTAGTAATAGGAAAAGGATATGTGGTTCTTCAATACCCTAATATTCGTTCAGCTTTTTTCCTATGTTATCTATCACATCTCCCCTCTCTCATTCACCTATCCATTTTATCCCACTCAGTTTTCTGTCCACCCTTTCGATAACTTTCCATACAATCCCCATCCCTGTTCTCTCTCCGATGGCAACACGCTAGCCATCTATCGGGTATTCATACATAAATACATCAAAGGCCATACTAATAATGCTGACGTAGCATTTTCAGTGATATTAGGCTCAACGACGTCAAGATTTGCATATCTAATGCATCGTACACTTTCATCTCCAATCCACCCACCAAAAGACCAATTCAATCTATCAATCCAATTGATTAGAATAGAATCCTCTCCATCAAGGAAGTCCCAGTTAGCCGACTGGGAAAGAATGAAAATTAAATAAGCCAAAGAACGCCATTCCATGATCTTCATCTCAATCATCTCATCTCATCTGAGTTGCCCAAGCACCAGGTCGGTCCAAACCCTTTAAATATGCGCGAAAAAGAAGAGATCATCTAAGGTATCATCGCTCTGATCAAAACAACAACAAAAATAAACAAGAAATGAACAGCGAACATAAGAACGCTCAAAACAAATATGCAATCTTCTTCTGGCACTTCACCGTGTCTCATGTTGCCTCGGGGTCAAAGGAAGCCTCCTTCACCACCGAGAACACCCATTCCTCTGAAGCCGCCACCGCATCTCTTCATTTCCCGATCGGCGACTTGGACATCTCCACCTCTCAAACTCAATGCGTTATTACCCCTGAATCCTCTTCTTCCTTCAATCTCGTTGTCCTCTGCGAGTTCCGGGGCACTTTCAAGACCATAATCACTTACACTATCTCTTCTAGAGTCGTCTCTTTCCCTAAAGCTATCTCCTCTGCCAGAGTTTGAACTAGCATTTGTTTGAACCAGCAGAAGGGAGCTTGTCGAACTCAATCTTCTTGCGAATTCTTGGAATGAAAGACGTTTTGTAGACGTGCTGCTTCTCCTTTTCTCCATCTCGGCTTTGGTAAGAGTTATACCTGAGTTGCCATTTCCACTGTCCTTTGATGAAGGTACCACAGTCGAAGAGATAGATCTTGGAGGCAACGCTAGAGATGTTGGCCGACTATTCTTTCGCATGTGCGATGACGTTGTACCAGTGCGTGGGCGAAGACCATTTCCAACTGAAGAGAAACTTTGATTGGTAGAGCTTGAACCACTGTGGAGGGCATTCATAGCATCGCGATTCAAAAAAGGTACCGGGGGACTATTTGGTGAAATAGGTCTTGAGCTAGAACTGGATGCCCGAGGTAAAGGTGTTTGTCGTCCAGCAATGTAATCTAATGCTCTTTGTGCTGGAGTAGGCATAAGAATGTCATGACCATCCAGTTGCTCTAAAGCATTACCAGGGTCCTCATTGTCTGATTCCTCTGATTCCTCCTCAAGTTCCCAACCAGGCTTGAATCTGCCCTTACTATCAGTAGCTGAAGTCGCTGATCTTTGCAATGCCCTTTCATCATGCTCTCTCATTAATGCTTCGAATCTAGCGATACTACTACCCTTTTCCTCTTCATCCCTCAATCTTTCACTTCCTGGAATACATCTCATTTGAAACGCTCTATCCAGAATTGTTTCTCTTGGACCGGGTGATGTTGTGGTTGGTGACGCAAGTGGAGGCCCAATAGCAGATGCAATACTATTGCTACCCCTAGTGTGATGAGATAATGCAGAAGATCGTCCTTGAGCCGAAGTCCAACCTTCAATAAAATTATCATAACCAGAAACGGAAATTGGCGAGGGTAGATCCGTGGGTAAAATTGTATTATTGTATTGTGGATGAGCCGATGTAAAACCCATAGGTGGATGAGATGAGCTTGCTTGAGATGAAAGGTCTGAGCGTCGGGAACGCAGACTTGGAGATGGAGATATCATAGCGGAAGGGCGATCTCTTGAGGTTTGAGTGTATTGGCCGGATGATTGAAAAGGTGGTCGAGTTTGTTGATCCTGTTTACCATTTCGTGAAGATGGTCTTGGGTCTCTAGCAGAAAAAGGATTGGTGAAAGATGTAAATATTGGACTCAAAGGACTCATTGGACTCTCTTCATAATCATCAATTTGTAATCTTGGTTTGATGGTGATTTGCCAATCATAGATATTGTTTCGATCTTCGGGAACTGATCGGAAAAGAAGTGTATCCGCCCATTGTGCATCCTTGTTTGATGTTAATCCCCCTGTTCGACTTGATCTTCTTTTACGTTGTTTCTCCGATATTGAATCTGGTTTTAATTCTAACATCAGTGTAGGCAATGGTGTGGCTTGTTTTCGATGTGATAACGATCGAATTTCGCATGATTTGAAAGCAGATATTGGATGTTGCACAATATATTCCCAATCGCCCTATTTGATCAACATGTTAGAATCTTAAGCCCCTCATTTTTACAATTTACTCTGGGAACGACTGCCATTGACAGAGACAATTTGGAAAGAAGACAGGTTCTCATCTGCAACAATTCGAGCACAACAATCATAGTTTCAAGGTCTGTCTCACAGAGACTCCATTCAAGAAAGAGATGTATTTCTAACTGTACCTTTGCCTTGTAAACTGAAACGAACAATCCATCGTCTGAAGCAGTTCCCAAATCTGCCAAACTTGGTTTTGAAGAAGTACTTTTAATTGACTTTCCTTTCTTTGAGTTGGACTTCTCGAGGATTTCGGTTTGTGTGTGTAGGTGTGCACCGGAGCCAAGTACAACATATCGAGGCTGTTAGGTTGAAAAGAACTTTGTCAGACAACATCTTCGGAATAGAATCGTAATTGAATATTCTAGAAGGGAGATTTACCTTCCAAACTGCCCTTCCAATTATTGTACCCCTTTCAGGTGGTACCAACATTAATCCCTCCATTAATATCATCTTCGCTGGAATGATTGGCTTCGTAGAGGTCGATGTAACTGGAGCCTTGACGGGGTATGAATGATTGATTGTGATAAAACGTTGGATGAATTCCGGGAAATTATTATTACAGTCGTATTAAAACATAGTATTGGAGAAAAGAGTATTGACGATTATCAAAGACAAAGTTATGGTCCTTGTAGTAGAGGAAAGGACATGGAAATCGAAGTCGAAGGTCGAAGGTCGAAGGTCGAAAGGGTAAGGTTGTGGTTGTGTAGTACCCGTGTTGATTATGTTGAGTTTCGTAATATTGAATCCGCGTAAAGTTTTAGAAATCCCCTGTCGAAAGTATCTGTACTGCGTCGTATCGTAATAGAAGGGAAGAATGAAAGGTTTCGAATTGGAATGGAATATATTGAAAGTTCAATGGATGAAGTATGGGCAGGTAGGTAGGTATGTTGAGTCGTAGATGGAAGGTGGGTGGGTGAATTAGAATCTTTTCCGTTCCGTAGACCTCGTTCTGAAATTTCTCTCTCTTCCTTTGGTTCGAATGAATCCCTTTTGCTTGTTGAATAGAATCATTCAATATGGTAGGTAGGTATAGCAAGTAGTATAAGAAGAAGAGTGCGGAGGGGATAGGTGAGATGATAGTGGTGAAATGGAGACGAAGCGGGATCTTTAGATGAATTTCTAGTTGGTCGTCATGTATGAATAAGTCAATCGTACAAATAACCCCCGTCATTCCTTTTTTGGTAGAGAATTATGGATATATTATTTCGAAAGGGACAAATTATATCCAGATTAAGAAAGGGAAGCCTTTCGATGAGCCCTGCTTGATTGAGCCCTGTTCCTATTGTAGCCTGGGTAGACTTTTAAACTACGGACATGGTACGTCCATCTTGTGTTAGCCAGACTCGCCAGACTTCTAAAGTTCTCATGCACCAAAATCTGGGTTGATTCACTGCCAAGTACCTTTTGATATTCTGTCTCCACTTCTCTGTACCCACTCAAGCCACTCGTAGAAGATACTCCACTTGTGAACAGAAGTGTGTTCCTGAGACAAGGGGGAGGGGGGGGGGAGGAGAAGAAGAAGCAGAAGAACTTTCTAGTCCAGTTCGAGAGTAGTTTTTGCGGGTAAAAATATGTCAAGTCAAGTTAAGTCAAATTGAGATGGATTTTAGATTCAATACTTTTTTCAGGTAAATCCTATCTCCGTCAAAGTCGAGGTACATCGTATTTACAGACCACTCATAGAAGAGCATCCCGCGAGGTCTCCACAATATAATATGTGATCAACAAATCAATCAAAAGGAATTTTGGGGAAGAGAATCAACAAGCGTAAAAAGTTTTTAATGGTGTGGTGTACTCACTCACTGAGCGGATATATTTTAGCGGGAACGATGAAGGGGTCGGATCGGAAACTATTTACTCTAGCATTTATTAGGCGTGCTGTTGACGAACTGGGGATAGGCACAAGTACGACCCTACGAACAATTGCATCAAACATGGTTAATCCAATTCAATAATTTCTATCGATGACTTTGGCTTTGATGCTGGAGTTTACTTCTTGCTTTTTACTGTATGATTGATCACATACATAGTTCGGTATCATATTTATTTCGTTAACCTCGGAATTCCTTCATATCATTCTATCGCACAGATGTTCTCCTCAAAAATGGTTGCCCGTCTTTGATGCAGAAAATATCAAGCATCGTTCTGTTTATTGTTTCCTCATTGGTCTTTCATCAAGCCTTTTCCCCATATCTTCTCTCAATTACTCCATACATCCCATTTGTTTAATCTACAGAGGGTATATATATATCATGCTAAAGGCAAGATCCATATCCCGTCCCGCATCTTAGTCCTCGTGCTTTGAATGCTTTTAATCTGCTGTACAACTTCATTAAAATTTGGTCACATCTAATAGAAGCTTGATGCTTGGAATTGTGGGAAATGAAGCCTTCAGATTGGACGTCTTCTCAAGCCATGTTTTGTGAAGTGTCAACGACATTCGTTACACAGTCTCAGATATATAAACAAGTTCGACAACATACACGGGCTTTGGGAGGATAATCTTTGCAACACCTCATTACGGTGGATAAGATCATGCAGTTTTGATTGCAGTTTTCATTGCGTTTGTATGACTCCGGTGTCATCCCATATAATTCAAAATTATCTCCGCTTCTAGATCAAGGATTTATCTGATTGAACTGATTCAGAAATCTTTGAAACTTTGAATGAAATTTCTTCCAGATCTTCCACCGCCAGTTTCGACGGGGTATCAAGACCCTTCTCTTTTGTATTCGGTTTCATTCCAAACCGGGAGAAAGGAGGAGGGGTTCTTTTGACAATTCGCCGTTTCTCCAATCGTATTACAACAAATCAACCCCCTAATAATCCCAATACCACGGACCAAGCAACGGTTTGTTCCCCACTAGATGTGATACATATCCATTTACATGCTCAGATATTCTGCGGAAGCTTCCTCTCGCTACATAAATCCCAAACTCATCTCATCCCGATGAAAAAATTCGGAAGATCCAGAAGTTGTCGAACTTTGGTTCGGCTATGTATCATACTGCATATCCTGACGAGAGCGATACGACAGCGAAATTTATCCATATAATGATAGCGAGTGATGATTTCATGATCGCCCCATGTCCCTTCTCCAATCAGTCTCCATACTCTGCACATAACAAACTCAACTTCTGCCCTGTCCAAGGAGGCTCATACCACTTATTGTTACCATCAACCAAAAACGGGCAACCTAGCAAGTTTAAACCCTGCATAAGCGCTCCTCCACGGGTCCGATCATCGGGTGTTTCCTTTCGAATCCAGGGTTCTTTTCAGGGGTAACTTTATCTCGTCACCAACAATTATGGATCTTTTTGACGCGCGCACCTTTCGCTGAGCGAACTATCGTCTAAAGATCATCTAAAATATATTGTTTTTGCGCATACTATGGAACATTTGCTTTGACTAGAAATCCGAATGCAGGAGCAGTGCAGCAGATACGAAGATTTGAGGATCCCCTTATTCCTTCGAGAAATTCGAGAAGAGAAACAGGCTCGGCGAGAAAGGAGGTTGTTCACCGCTAGATGATGGGAATGCAGGTACAGATACTTTATGTGGATTGTACCTGCTTGTTCATGTACGTTTTGTTTATGTCAAGTCGGAGGCTTGATGCTATTGAGCGTCTTTCTCTTCCATCCATTACTCTGCTTCAAATCCTTTGAATATTCACTAGCTTCCTCGATCACAACCTCAACCGATAGCTTCCGCGCGCATATCGAAAGCAAAGACCTTCCCACCATTGCCCCTCAAAGTTCAAAACTGCAACTCTGTGAATTTCCCAAATCTTCGAAGACCTCCAACTGCCCGTCTATACTTGCGCTCACGCACCAAAAAGTGTCATTCCTTACAGATTTCCATTTTAGTACTCCATCTCTTGCCGCATCTACCTCGTCGACCCCTCAAATCTTCATCCCTAGAACCTTGGTTCATGCTATAGGGCACAATCTTGAACAACTTTCTTCGGCCGAATCCCCCGTCGTGCTTATCAACTACTCCAAAATATCCTACCTTGCGAATATGGGAGGGATCAAGCTTCTTCGGCTCTATTGCATCCTCTGCTTCTCCATCTTCAAATTGCTTGCGGCCTATCTGCGGCCCGCACTTCGATTGCACAAGCTAGAGTGCAAAAGACATGACCCTTTTCCCATTACCTCCACCCTAAAATTTACCACTTCCCCCACCATTTTTCCATGGTGGCCACTGCCATTTCCCATCAAGCTGTCAGCTTTCCTAGGAAACATCTTGCCTTGTAAAGTCCTTGAGGGATCATGCTTGCTCAACTTTTCATTCAGATATCCTTCGACCGCGCTCTTCCCAATTGAAATTACACATCAAGTACGTTTACACAACAGTTCAGGATTTTAGATCACGAGCGTGTACGAGGTCCTTGATCTTCCCGAGCCTGCAGCTGTCCACCACTCTACCCATCTTTCAATCTTCCGCTCACCTAACCTAGAGAACCACTGCTTTGCGAAAAATATCTGAAGGATCATGCCTGTTTCTTCGTTCGTGTGTCCATATTTTCATACACATCTCCACCACAGAACGAGCTCACCAAAGAACAGATCGCAAATTTGACTTTCGCTTCTGGCGGACTCTAATTCCACGAATGCGCCACTCGCTCTAAAGATCATTCTGCGAAAAGGTTCTTCCCTGATTACTGCACACCTTGTGATGCGAAGCTGCGAATCCCGATATTTACACTTTAATGATCTTCAATATACCCTCTGACTACGTATGACAAGTGAAATTTCATCAATTAGAGTTTTTTAGACCGGGGAAACACAATCTAGGTCTGTTTTATTGTTTGGTAGGTATTGATAATGACATATTTACGACGAATACTCAAATGAGGGAGTATCAAGCGAAATTTTCAGTGAGCACCGAATGCCGAATGTGACGAGATGCAGAAGAATTGTCATTACTCTGAAAAGAATTAGTGTCAACGTTCGATTGACGTGAATGCCGAGCCAAGTTTCGGAGGAATGAATGATTAAATTGATGTCAATTTCTAGATCGGTGATTGGTTTCAATGTGGAATAGAATGAGCTCCTTCATTGAGGACCTTGTTGCCAAGGTATATTTGCACATAATATTCATTATACGACTACTCGTACGATTACTTCAAAATTCTTCAAAGATCTCCATGATCGCATCGCATGAAGATGAAAAATCTTGTGTAACCTCATCCCAACTTCACCCCTCGATAATCCTACATCTACTCTTCCGCTACAAACTCTTCCCTGTAGATGGATGGGTTCTTCTCCCATGAACCTAGCGGCACTTCTCATTCCGCTACGGAGTACGAGCTTTCCAAGTTCCCACCATAATAATCAGAGCCACCCCCACCCTATTCAGCAAACATCCTAAATCTCTCCGAGAAACTAATGCAGTTAATTTACAAAAAACTTTAATGGTGATTAATCATTAAAACCAGTCAAACTATTCGAGCATTCGTCAATTACCCGAATCATATTTTTCGAGGATACTGGAGGGAGAGAGACGGTTTTGAGTCAGTGAACCTTTAGTTTCACAGTCAGCTGTTTGCTAGAAAAGGCGTTCCTGGAGAAGGCTTGGGTTTGGTTAGATATTGGGCTGCCACGTTTTGAATCTCTGTGATGCGGCTGCAGCGCATATGTATTATGTGCAGAGTAGAAAGAAAGAAAAGAAGAAGTCCAGGTATGTACCGGCATGCATGCACTCCAAACTGCACTCCAAGAAACGCAAGAAAAAAGGAAATATATACTCACTTGCATCGTTTGACATTTAGGTCAGTCATGCAAAACCTATTACACAAGCGGCAAGACCACCTGTGTCAAGACGCGTACAGACCTCATACTAATCCTCCGTAATAATGTGATATCTCTCTTCTTGTCACTCTTGTATCACAACCTGATAGTCTATCAGCCCGTCCGTTTGTGCGAAGTACATCAATGATTCACGGGTCTGTACATCAGGACTCTTGGCACCCCGGAATGTCCCTAGTTTTCGTGTAACATTACCCAAGTCAGGTTCAGCTCCGACTTCCGATTCTTAATATACGGGAAAGATGTTTTGCTTTTGTGCATGAAGCTCCGATCAGGTGATCGTCCTAGTCGAGAAAGATATTTAGGTACGAAAATAAGTGTGTTGTGTTCTGAAATGAAACATATGTAGGTGTGGAGGTGGAGGAGAGGGATGGGGCGGGACGGGAAACTTAAAAACCTTAGGTTCTTGATCTGTTCGCGAGTACATCTACCCGACCAGGCCAGATATGGACATGTTCATTGATTGATTCATTCGTTGACGAACAAGTTCCTTCTTAGCATATACACTAACCTTACTTTTTCAGCTTTTATCTCCAATCTAAAACGCATTCCTCCTGCACGCACCTTGCTGAACCACGCAGTCGGTAACCTTTCAGCCATACAATTTGCTTCATTCAGCACGCTATCACTGTGCCGCAATCACGCATATTTCACGTTATACTATACCATATCGTACCTAAAGAGCCAATATTTCCATCTGACTAGTATGCTAAAATAGCCATGGCTTGTACGAGGTGAGCTGCCTTGCGGCTGCCCGACAACATGGCACCTTGCATCTCATGTGCCAATCAATGCGTCCATCCCAAGTGCCAATCAATGCGTCCATCCCAAGTACGCATCGCATGTGCGCATGCGTTTCAAATCACATATTTATCCACGTGGGTAGCAGACTACATGCTTATGTTTATGCTTACCCTCCAAGGGTTTCTGTCCAATCTAAAGGTAATTTACCGATCTTTCGGAATATTTGGTCAGATCCCACTACTTTCCGTTTGCGTTGTTACTCCTTTCCGATACCGCTATTTTGGCGTGGCATTCATTAGTTTCAGGATTGAGTATATCTATTCTTATAATGACATATCATTAAACGTTGAAGATGGGGGCGACAAAGCGATAGGTGGTGTGAGAAACGCTGGGGCGTACTTAGCGTCGCTGAACTAGTGTTCATCATCGTATCCTCGCCAGTACAATTCATTCGTTTTATTATTCGTCGCAATGTCACTTAGTATTCTTGCTAGAGATTATTTGGTTGCCTTGGTCCCGCTTTATAGTGCTATATCACATGGCGAAGTGGCTTGCTCGGCTGCTCACCAGCTATCTCCATATATGCACGAGTCATAATGCCGGTCGGGATCTCCGTGTTTATCGGGAGCTTGCTTATTTATATGTGATGACTGGGCCGAAGGACGAAAGGAAATTGCTTATCTGAGTAGATGTGCGACTACAGGATGAAAGAACGAGCCGTGGGCTCTATGATCTGACGACATCGCTCAGAGCGTCTGATAAAAAGTGGGCAATCAGGGGTCTAATAAGTCTTAGGTGAATGAGTAGTATCATGGCTGAGCTTCTTGGAGAACTTGAGTGGAAACGGTGCGGGGTCACCGGGTACGTTTTTTGGTACCTGATTACGTACAGATTGTTTGATGTGTTGACCGACATTCTCTACATTCGTGCGGGTGAATGAGAAGGAGAAGAGAAGACCGAGATTTCGGTACAACGACGAGCGATTACTGGCTTAATACGACTGTTCAGTAGCCATTTTGTCTACAACAACGACTCATGAATGAGCTTCAGAGAATCAGAAACACGAAATGATCGCAAAGATCGCATTGATTGTCTGAGTATTCTAGCTCTTCACAATTTACAACTGCGCAAGCTTTGAGTCCTTCTGAATGGTCTTCTAGGCTCCCAAGGAAGAGAAGTTGCCATGTTTTGATATCGATACTACTATCGTATATGACTGATTCATTCACTGCCTTTCTCATTACTGTCATGAACTTCAGCCTCACCATTCGCATTTTCATCTCCGGAATTAGTAGTATAGACTGCTTTACTAGTACGCGATCAGAAAAATGAACGTCATGGAGCGTCACACAAATAAGCTTTCATGGTTAATATCGCTGACATGATTCATTATCATCTAGTTCCTTTTTTTTAATTGCTCATTATCACTTCACTAGAACTGAGTTAAACCTTTTGCTCAGCGACGTCGCGTAGTATCGGCGGGTGACAATGTCCAACCTCGGGTCAGGATGATCAGGTGGATATTGCCACTCCAATTCAACGGCAATGATCTTCTTCGCATTGAATCTTCCATGAGCTCTACGCAGAAGTTTATTTCTTATCAGGGAATACTCCAGACCAGTTTTGCCATTGTTCTAAGTGTTCTTCGATGCAGTAGAGCCTCTCAAGGATCGCAGAATAGACATGACAGTGGTGTGAAGCTCACGTGAAGAAGTCTGCAAATCGACGGTTTCGTTGATCTTACTCCTCTTGAAAATCAGGCTGATGAGATTTGTGTCCAAAAGAAATGTGGTTATATGGACATGTACGCTGGAGAGGTATGAGAAAAAAGAGAAGTTTATATAACCCTTTCTCATGAACTCGCTTGAGTTTGATAGAAGGTCTTAGAAACAAGTTCATTGAACCAGATCCGCTTGTGAAATTCGGCTAATGGATTAGGAGCAATCGTTATGCGAAAGAAAAGGCTAGTGTTTATGTTCTTCAACTTGAACTACGATGCTAATCAGTAATTCGGCCATCATTTCATCTAGTCTGACTGTGATCTTACTAGTGTCTACTTCGATACTGTTGTCGTACTATTTTTGAACCGAGAATTTCGCTTCACAGCCATTCGGAGTGAGGCCAAATGCAGTATTGAGCCATGTAGAACTTTTCATATACATGTGGCCTATGTATTATATACACCTGGATACATACAGCCGATGCACTATATACATGTGTGTATTTAGCTTTTGTATAAATAATATCATGTCAACAGCTTGTAGTAACAAGAAAGATCAACTCTTTTGTGAAGTGCAACTATTAAGCAGCAGGGAGAAAAGAAACCCATGTCATTATGCATCGATATTTCGAAGGTCTCTATTCCATTTTTACTGAACCTCAGGTTGATCAATGAAAATGATGTTTCCCATCGACTTCTTGATTCAACTCATTCATATGAGAGGTCCCGTGCTCTTTTCCGGACTAATATTCAGTCATTTACTGTTGTGGCTCATAACCATAAAGTAAAGCACATTCACATCTCTTGATTGAAATCAATAAATGCAGCTTTTCTTGTCACCTTCAAATAAATAATTCATTATGAAGGAATTCGAAGCTACTCTACTCGAGAAGGAAAATCTAGGCTCTTCTGGTATGAACATTGGCACAAAGAGGTAAGTTCATTCAGTCATAACTTTTCCACGAAAAAATAGTCTGTGAGAAATCTTTCGCCGGAAGGAAGATCAAAGAATTAGAAAGCGAGCTTTCGATATGCGTATATATGTACAGAATAATCCCTATTGAGATATTGAGATCATCAAGCTAATTCGATTTTTCCCCACAGGTCTTTAGTATTATGGAACATGTCATGTGGTCCATACAATTGGATTACATCATTAATTTCACCACCACTTTGAGCCATTACCATTTCGAAAGAAAACATCACGATTCACAACCACGGATTTCTATGGCACTAATTTATCAAATCACTTGTGCATTTCAATTGAGGAGATGACCTCGGGAATCAAAATTGGTATTCATTCATTTAGTATTAATATCAGCCATCCACAAGCCACAATTTATGTGTTACTTGGTACATGTTCCAGACGACAAGTTCTTCTGACCAAAACAACCAAACACCAGTAACAACCAGGGGTATAAAATTCAACATAAATTCCAAACACCTGCAAAAACCTTGGGTTTCTAATATTCTAACCAAAAGCCTATTACCAAAAGAAACAATCGACTAACTATACCGACATTCGCCTTCTATACCCTTCAAAACCCGGAAACCCTCTCTTCTGCAGTACTATCTCTTGCTAACAAATAATCCGTTCCCAATCCATATCACTGCCCCTCTAGCTCAGCGCGGTGGCGCAGGATCCGAACGCTGCCCATTGAATCGATAACCTTGAGGCGGACCATAGTAAGGTGGCCGAGAATTTTGAGCTGCACCATGCTGTTGGCGGGCTCCCTGAGGATGACTTTACATGGGAGCTGGGTACATGCTGCCTTGAGGATGGTTCTGCATGAACCTTTGGGGATCGCCACCCATGTTTCGGCTGTGTGCTGGTCTTGGTATTTGTGAGCCAAGAGTATTGGCTGGGTGATGTCCGGGAGCATGTAAACTGGCACTACCAAGCATCGGCTGCTGAGCGGCAGTGTATCTTCCTGCGGTGTTGTTCATTGCAGGTTGTGGAAAGCTCCTCTGGTTGCCTCGAGGAACTCTGCTTGGTGCATCTTGACCCTGAATCCTGGGTTTTCTCCGACGGTCATCGATTGCTGGCGGATAAATTCCAGTACCAAAATCACCAGCAATACCATAAGCTGGAATTTGAGCGTTGGTGCCGGTATGGTTGTTGCGACCTCCATTCACATTTGGCTGGATGCCGCTGTGGTTGTAACCACTGTTCTGGACGCTGACCGGTAGTCGTGATTGGGCGTACAGATTTTCCCGGTCTTGGTTTGCCAAAGACACATGACTAGGCTGGCTAATCACCGGAGGCTGTCTCATATTGCCCAGCGATTGACCACTATTATTGGCCAATCCACGGACGTCCCTACTCATCGGCAACTGTTGGGCGCGACCAAAAATCCTCAATGGCTGAACAGCGTTACCATTCCCCACAAATCTAGGACGATTTGCGTTGTTGCTAGGAGTGGGACGGAACAGTAATGGACCTTGCTGACCACAACTGCTCCCCATGCTGTTGACAGGACCAGAATTAGGTCCGGGACGATCCTGTCGCATTCCTAAGCGATCTTGTGCTCTGATCTGTTGCTGGGTGCGATTGACAGCAACTGTTGGTGGGTTCATTCTACCCATTCTGCCAACACCAGAAGTTGGATGTTGCTGACCGGTTGCAATTTTAGCCTGGGCTTGATGATGCATTTGGCTATAAACAGGATGGAGGCTTACATCTTGTCCCACCAAAACGCCCACCAGACCGCCTTTCATCAAGCCATTGACATTGGGATGTATGACCCCACGATCATTGCACAGCTTTCTTAACTCAGGCACTCGAAACTTCAGGTATTCAGACTGTCTCTCCGAGACGTAGTCTTGAAACTGTTTAGCCATAGATTGGATGCTCACTGGCGCGATAGTCTGGCTCGATGGCGCGGCGTTTCTCGGTCGCTTGGCAGTTGGTTCCATTTCCTGCTCCGCGGATTCAAGTCTCTCCCACTGCTCCGGCACCATCTTTCTCTTGGCAGACTGTGCCACTGGCTGATGGATGTGCATAGCCGGAGCTTGACCCATGTTCTTAGGATGTGGCGCTTGAGGAATCCCGTGACTGGGAGGAAGGTGCGGTACGTCAGCCAATCCTTGTGGATTACTAGGCTGAGTCGGACGTATCTGCGAACTACGCTCTCCATTTTGTTCACCAGACGACTGAGCCATTAGCATTGGCTCCTGAGCGAGTCTCAATCGCTTTGCCTCTGGTTCCGTGTCGGATTCCTCCGATTCCGAGATTTCACCGCGTTCTTGTCTCTTCCTCCGTAAGCTCTCTTTGAAAGCTTCGGGTCGTTTGTGTGCATTCGGCTTTGGCTCGAATAATTTTTCGCCATTTGCAGCACGAATTCTAGAAAGTTTCAGTTAGCAATGAATTCATCTAAAATTAGAATGCTGTTTGGGGGAACTCACCGATTCAGATGTTGGACCTGGGTCCAGGTGCAGATGATCGATTTCCGGATGGTCGGTCTCTGAGGGGGAATTCCTCCCCTGGCAACTATTGCCGTGTCTGCTGCCCGCTCGTTCTGGATGGCGACCTCGAAGCACCCACGTGTTAATTCTTGCGGGAAGATTTGCCTGAACTCGCCGTATGTCATTAAGACTCGAGGATTGCTATACTCAGCACGTTCGTGGCTGAGACGCTTGGTGGGACGACTGTCATTCAGTCCCAAGGAATGGCTGCCTCCGATGTCTGCAGGGGTGGCTTGAATCATGTTATCGCCTAGACCATACGCGTTTTCTTGTTCGTAGTTACCAGTCTGCATTTGCTGAATAGCGGGCTGGAAGCTTTGAACACCGGTCTGTTCCATGGTGTAGGGAGACTGATGTACGAATGTGTCAGTGCCTTGCACATTAGGCAACTGTACTGGATGGACACTGCAGCTTCTGGCCAATGGGTCTTGTCCGTACAGCGAATAATCCCCCACTGTGGGAGGAGGAAGAAGAACCCCATACTGGGGAGCGACAGGTGGTGCGATACCCAGGGCCGCGGAACTATGCGACTGATATGCCTGCAGTTCTGGAGTGGGTACTGCATTGTCCATAACCGGTGGAAAGTTCAGTTCGCCGGGAGAATTCAAGAATTGGTCATCGCCATATGTGAATTCCATATCATTGCCAGAGGCAAGGATCTGGAAGTTCTCGAAAGTACGAGTAGAGTTTTGACCATTATTGAAAGTCGGATTTTGACTCTCTTGAATGCTATCCTCAGCCATGTTATCCCCAGCATCCGAAGTTAGGTCAATGGCACCGACTATTTCAGCATTTGACTGGACTGTAACCTGCGATTGAGGATTGGTTATCTCATCAGTCTGCTCCGCAGACTCCTGCTCATCGTCAACGGGTATCGGGTTTTGCACCGAGTTATTTGGCTTCCGATATCTGCTTCCAGCGACAGGTTTGCCAAAATTGGTGTATTTGCCAAAAGCCCATCGAGGCAAATGCGTCACTTTCTCAGCGGCATTTTCAGCTCCAGAGGATGAGCTTGGTGCAGTGTCTGGCAATTTCGAGGGAGCTGGTCCAGAGAGTTGGGTAAGGACTTTGCCTGCTTGTCCCCTACCCTTAGGTTGGCTCATATCTGATCTCGGGATTCTGCTGGCTCTGACTCTGCGGCGTCTAGTTGAGGCTTCATCCTCTTGGCCGTCAGTCGGTTCTGGAGCCGATGTGTCGACTCCGCTCTGCTGTGCAACTGGCGCAGGAGATGGACTTGGTAAGTGGAGCCCCTCTGTATCGGCCACTACACGAGGAGGAGCAATAGGGAGATTCAGCCCCTGTGAACTATCCACTGCATTTGGGGGCTCGGGGAGGTGCAGCCCTTGAGGATTGACAGCTGCGCGTGGAGGTTCTGGGAGGTGCAGTCCTTGAGGAGCAACCGACTTCCGAGGAGGTGCGGGGAGGTGCAATACCTGTGGATTAGCCATTGCACGTGGGGGGTCTGGAAGATGTAGGCCCTGAGATTTGGCCACCTTCCGAGAAGGTTCTGGAAGGTGAAGCCCAGTGTGCTTTGGAACGGCGGAAGCTGCAGCATTTGCACTGTCTTTCTTGAGTTCAGCCTCAAGTTCCGCCGCAAGTTCCGCCTCAAAGTCAGCTCCGAATTCAGAGCCAAACAGGTCGTCGACACTATCTGTCGAAGTGTCAAGAGGTGTCTTATCACCTGTTGCCGATTCATTCTCTGGGGGCTGAGGGCCATCACCGAGTTCAGAACCATCAAAGTCACCAAACAGGGAATCATCGTCATTCTCTGTGTTGACATTGTCTAGATCTGAGCCTGAAGTAATCGGCGCAGAAGTAGCACTTTCACCACTTTGTGGTGTATTAGCCAAAAGTTCAGGGGAGCTGTTGGTTTCTTGTGCCGCAGCCTTTGGTTGATTTCCCTCGTTAGTCTCGGTAACTTCTATGTCGTCAGAAGTGCTGCCGCCGAAAAGAGGATCATCATCAGGGATGTTCAAGTCTTCTTCCAGTTGAAGTTCAGGCTCGGCAGATGCTGTTATGGGTTGCTCGGTGGTATTTTCGTTTTCGGAATTGGTGGGAACATCTTCTTCTTGTCTAGCTGACTGCGTAGACTCTTCGGAAGAGCGTTCATCAACTGTCGGAGGCGCAACAATTTCATTCATGTAGAAATCTGCCTGGATTGGATCCCATTCCCAGGTGCTGGCAGGAGGAGAGTGTGTTTCAATTCCCTCTTCATTGAGGAAATCGTCCCAGGTGAAGGGCCCATTCGCGTCGTAGGATGACTCTTCTAGCGAGTCTACAGGAGCGGAAACAGTCGGATTCTCATTGGATAAGAATGTGGATGGATCTTCGCCTAAGTAGCTGGCGAGTTGAGATTCCATGTCATCAAGAAAATCTGGGTAAGACATCTTGATACTTTTGGTAAGGACTTGCTGTGATTGAGCAAGTTAATTGAAGTTAAGTTGAAAGTTAATGAGTAAAGAAGACTCTTAGATACTCGAAAAGCTGTTTTGGAGTTTGAAATGTGATGAAGAGTTACTACTGGAACTTCTTGATACTGCTTCTCAAGGTTGGTAGAATACTGTAAAGAACTTTCTAATGATTTTTCGAAAAGCTGGGTCTCAACAAATCTTTAAGAATGAATGGAAGTTTAGAGGAAGTACGCTAGCAGAATCAAAACATATTGTCTACGGCTTCATATTGAACCTCCTTCATTAGGGGGTATTGCCATGGTAATAATACTGCAGTCATTTAAGAAACGGTTCTCACAAAGGCATTGTGGCCATTGTTCTACGCGGGTGCTCCTCGGTCACAGGAAGATGGCCGTATGAGCGCATGTTATGGACAGTATCTGTCGTTGAGCATATTGCAGAGTTTAAGGTACGGTGTGCCAATGGCTACTGTTCCTATTGTCCAATGGGCGGTATCTCAAATGTTGTTGATTAGCACAAATTGTTCAGCGTCAATAAGGTTATGGACTTGGGGTGGGCCCGTACTGAGTTGATATTCAAACCGAGCCTTCATTGAACTGGAGGGGATGCATAAGTTATCGCGCCAAATATAACAGGTTGTTCAGTGAAGAAAGCCCTTACGCCAGAATGATTGAGTGCATCAGAAACCAAATTCTCGAACTTGTTGCATGTACCTACTCCGAGGAGTCGACCATGGGAAAGGAGAGTTTTGAGTGTATTAGCTGTTTTATAATCAACTAAATCTGAATACCTGCGTATGTAAGTTTCCTTTCAAGCATGTCAGAATTTTTCTCTGTTTATATATACAATCATATGTAATTGAGCTTCGCTTCTGATAATTTCCACGTAATCCAAAAGGCTGTAGAAAGAGTTACTAAGATATTTGGGCCGTCTCAAATCACTAAATTGGTGCACACTAGCTTTCGTGCCAATAGAAGAATCAAAACATATTCCTGCGTATACTTGTATAGACCATATCAATACAGTAACAACATGAACTGCCTCATGATTATCTGAAAGAAACGTTTGTGGCTCGCTGCTTCTCCTCTTTTCGTATATAAAGAGAAATGTCAGGGACCAATCCTTTTATTGATTCTTATGTAACATGTTGCACAGCTTATTCCTCATCTTTGACTCTTTGACTGATTGGCTGGAAATGAGACAATGAGAGTGAGAGACTGCTAGAAGATTAGTTTTCGAGAGCTCCTTGCTAAGGGAACTCGGCTAATTGTATACGATAGGATTGAACTGAGTGGTTCTCCATTTGCGTCTCATCTCAGATCATTAAAAATGCTTTTCGGGCACCTATCGTACCCCTGTCCCTTAAGGTTTTTTTGCCAAAAAGTAACTTCGTATACTGATAAATCGATAGAACATAAACATATGAGTCTATAATGTGAATCTGATTTGATGGGTGCTCGTGCATATCTGAGGGGTTACCACAGACCGATAAGATCCTGGCTTGATAGAATTCTCTACAGCGGTCTCGACTTCTTTTACTGCATTCTCTATACATTAATACCAAATTTTGTGTCTATTATAAAAGAGGCTAAGATTCAATCACAGACGCTCTTTTATTGTGAATTTACTCGTTTGCGGAACCGCAATCAATAAGGTCGCCCGTCTCGGAATATATAATGTTCCAGGCTTTTAAGCGAGATAGCCGAATAACCCACAATTCGATGGGCAGGAAAAAAGGAGAGAGCGACAATAGACCACCTAGAAGATCTAATGCATTATAATATCCAAGAGCGACCTAATATGAGAGTTTGTCCGCCTTAAATAGGGTGGGAATCTGCCTTGGTTTGATAGTGAATTCTGCATGACAGCCACGCAAGCTCTTCTAGCAAACAACACACGAGTCATTCATACACAATAGTATTGTACTAACAAATATTCCTCGTTACAGATCAATTGCTGTTAATATTGAAAGCTCTCGCTATCGATGGAATGAGCGGAGTGTGATGCCTATTTCTTCAAAAGGCTTGAGAGAAGTTAGAATGCAGACTACTTGCAAATATCCCGACGTCATTCTCACATGGAAAGCACAATTTTTCGAAAATGTCCGTAAGAGGAAAGATGCTGAGTTTTTAAAGAGGTTGGTTGGTATATAGATATAGATGAGAAGAGCGTATAACATTCACAAATTCAAGAATTTGTGCTCGACATTTTTCTGCTTTTTGATGATATCATTAAAACAACGGAATCTGACAGGCTATGAAATCGGATGTCTTCGATGGATACATTAGATACACTTTGGCTGTATCTGGAACAACATTTTAGGGTTGGTTCGTGGGAAAGAAAGTGAAAGAGTTCTTGTGAGCTGGCACAAAGAAGTGGAAGGAGAAGTTGGCGGGATGCGAGAGACGGCCGCATGTCTGATGTAAACCGGGATACTTTAACAAGGTGCGTGGGAGTGAAATTTCAAATTCAAACATGTAATATACCGATACAAATATACTAAGACTGGAATTGTATTGATATTCATGTAGCTATACTCTGTAGAATTCAATCATACAATCTTCTTGCTATACAAATTTTCAATGCAAAATGTGGTATTAACCCAAACGCCACCGCTAAAATAATAATTTTTAAGCTCTTGTTAGTGCTTTATGCACTGAAAGAGGAAATATAGTACTAGCAAGCGTTAGCAGTGTCAGTGATCGTGGAGACTGTTAGCCATACCGTTAGGACAGATTCATCTCCGGCATCGTCATAATTATCGAGGTAAACGTATAAGATCAATGCATGGTCATTGACGAAGCCTATAGTTATCAGCATTAATCATCGACATAGAGATATTCAATACTCACATGCAATTACTCTTCCACCAAGCCTTCCAACACTAAGTACCTTTCCCCAATCTCTTCCATCTATTCTAACGGTTGACCAAGCATCTGGACCGGCAGCTTTAAGTCTTGTAGCTGGATGATTTTGAATTTCATCATCACCATCTTCCAATTGTCTTGGATCCAATTCCGGATTGTTAAGACCTGTCCAAACGCTTGAGATATTCAATGCATCGGTAGCAATACTCAACCTTAGACTTCCATGCATATTCGCACTCAATTCCAACTTAGGTATGTTCCCTCCACTTACTCCCCTAGTTCCGCCAGATCCAGTGGCCATTGCGAGTTTTGTAAACCGTTCCGAGATAGCTTTCAGTTGTATCAAAGAAGGTAACATAATATGCGCGTCTGGATCCCTAACTCTTGGTTCATGGATTCCTTCGACACTGTCCGCCGTCAAGATACGTATCGGTATATCTTGAGTAACAATAGCTTCTCTGTCTCTTCTTATGTTCGCATCGAGACTTTCTTCCCGGAAACCTTCTGCAAATGGGTCTGCTTGTGCACCTTCGCCACCAAGAAAGCTGGCACTCTTTCCATGCATCATTGTATTGGTAATAACTGTAAGGGACAAGACTGGCATGCCATCTCGTTTTGTAAGTCGTATCGAAGCAGAAGACGCGTTAATTGCAGATTTCAGAGCGCGATGGAGGGGTGGGAGGGGTAATTCTAAATTGATTGTATTATCTGGAGCGGCGGATTGAATTGTGTAGTCTTCAAAGATGGAATCGATCGCGAGAGACCTGCTCAAGGTCAGAATTATAAACCGGACTATTAATGAGGCAATACTTACGCCCAAACTTGAGTTCCTGTCTCAGGAATGATTGTGAATCGTACTCCATTATCGTCAAGACGCACCCAAGCTACTTTGCCAAGTGATGACAATGATGCTGTAAGTTCTAAAGTTCCGTAAGCTACTAAACTTCTCTGAAGTCCCTGAAGTGAATTTGAGACATTTGACTTACTACTGAACGTTTGAATATTCCTAACAGAAGTCTTGAACCGCATTCTGAATATTGGAAGGTCGTTGTTGCCTTCATCATTTTTGGAAGCTTGGAGCTTGGAGCTTCGATTAGGAAAGCCCGGATAAGAAATTTGCTTACTAATCATCTCAACCACATTCTGGTGGTTACTCGTTCGCGTGCATGCTTCTTCCCTCCTACAACTTTCACTCGTTTTACATCGATCAACAGGGAGCCACAACTCTTTAAAAAGCATTTTTATTTATCTTGTGAAACAACTTACAATCAGACCATAGTTGAAATCAAAAATGAGCATCAAGTAATGGTCGGCTGAGTAAATAGTCGACGTTGACTTCAATTTCTTGATATGTTCGCTATCTAACTAAATTTTCGGATACCATGTTTCCTTCGCCATCACACCGTTTAGATAGATGACAAAGTGGAAGTCGAGGAAGATCCCAACTATAAAGACTCGCCAACTACTATTCGAGTATCGTTTACCTATTCGCCAATTTCATAACCATGAACCTTTCCAGATACCGTGGTATCTTCAATCCTCCCACGTTTCCCACACATCTACCCACCAATTCCTTCATGATCTGCCCCGCTTACATCTGTCCGCTCTCCGATCTTGACTCTGCCCAGATTCTGTTGCCAGGTTCGGAGCTTGCAATACCAGGAGAGGACAACCTATTGCCATTTGGGACGAATTGTCTGGCCTCAAACCAACGGCGACCCGCGTTGGCAATTGGCGTCGACGTGCGCGAAACAGAGCCAGAAGATGGTCCAGATCTACCTTGGATGGTGTAGCCGACATACTTCAACTCATGGGAAGATGATGTTCTGGCCATGGGACCGACTACACCAAGAGTAGAGAATGAAAGGCCAGGGGAGCTTCTAGCTGTTGAGTTTAGATTGTTGTTGTGTGGTGATTCTGGCGAAAAAGCACTAGCACTTGGCGAGCTTCTTGCCTCGGCAATCGCGAATCCAGAATTTCCTGTCGCTAAGCGACGTAAGTCTGTACCAGATCCAGAAGTTGAGCGGCCATGGGTCAAAGGAGTGAAGGAGAGAGTGGGATCAGTCGCATGACGTCGAGGACGCATAAGTGGCGAGCCTTCATCCGTGGTAGTTCTCATTGGAGAACGGCCTGGCGTAGGTCCGAAAGGGGTTGGCGGTTGTACGTTAGGACCCAGGTACCCCTCAGAGCCTGCGGAATGTCTAGCATTCATTTGTATTCTAGGTGTTGTTGGTGGTAAAACAACACGAGGACGTGGATTTGCACGACTGTGTCCAGGCCCCATAGGAACAGCAACACCAACTTCTTGACGAGGCATTAAGTGTTGAGAACGGCCACTCACGTGGTTCTCAATTGGTTCTGGTGAATACAGAATTTGATGATTATCTGCGTAGCCATAAGCATCGGTTGCGTTGAGAGAGTATGGGTAAAAGACAGGAGCGGCGTAAGGGACTCCGTTGATGCCAACTGGGACAAAGTAGGGGTTTGCCTGTCCGCTGGTACCCATAATAAATGCATTTGGTGGCGGAGCGACAGGATAATGCTCCTCATATCCCGGGTAGACAGGACCTTGTGCGCCACTTGCCATAGAAGCATGAGCAAACTCCTCCCCGCTGTGTCCCATGTAATGCTTTTCAGCTTGGTTATAGACGGCATAAGTTGGATAAGCACGATCATCTTCGTTGAAAGTAGGGTAGGTGCGATCAGTTTCATTATAACTGCCATACATATGTCTAGCCTCTTGACGATAGCCGGAAATACTCTCGCCACGATCCTTTCCCCAAACTTGCTCATTTCCGTGATCATTCATTGGCTCATGTTCTTGCGAGGACACTTGATGATTGCCATTGTCATGGTGGCGTCCGCCGCGTCCAACATTACGAAAGGTACCGCGCCAATCACCTTTTCCATCACCACGTCCCTGTCCCTGGCCACGACCAAATTGCTCATCACGTCTTCCGCGGCGATTGAGATGCTGTGTGTAACCACTACGCTCGCCATGATGCTGGTTGCCTCTACCACGATCAGAACCTCCTCGATGGGAACTGCCACCACGCCCTGTATTACGATCTTGGCTCGGTACCAAGACACCAAATCTAGTATCAGAAGACAGGCCTGGATGTGCCTCTCCCATGACATCTGATTTGTTGGATGTCGAGTACATTGAAGGTGTATTTGCAACACTTGCATAGTAGCTTGGTACTTGATTGTAGGTCTCGCCATTTGGGTACACGTGTTGGTGGCGTTCACCGGTGTAAGGAATGGTTCGAAAGCCCTTGAAGACATCGACATCGTCACCAACAGTATCGTTATGGCGAATTCGAACCGATTGAATATCCTTAATCGTGGTATCGATTAAAAGGATTTGCTGATAGAATGGCTTGGTAGCATCAAACTCGTCAACCAAGTCCTGTAAAGTCGTTAGCTAGTGTACGAGATACATAGTGGCTTGCACACACCCAAGGGCCGAACTCCAAGCAAGTTCCATTATTGTGAGTGATAAGCGATTGTGTATCCTTCGATCCAATCCTAGTGTATTGCTGAAGGCTTGTTAGCGTTTAATCCGTTTCATTTTGCTTTGATATGGCTTACCTGAGCTCTACCCTCGGAAGGAGTAGCAGGTCTTCCTTGCACCAATAAACCCCATGAATGGTGTTGTCGCTCTTCAACGATTGGCTTGACGGTGGTCATAGCTGCGGTATTTATGAAGTAACTTGTGATATCTTCTAGTCGTTCTCTTCAGAAATCTCACTGATTAAGTTAAAGACAAGTGTTGATGGCGGGATGCGAGACTTATTGGTACGCAACTTGATTGAAATCTACTTAGCGGCAGATAATAAGAGTACTTCTTGAATGAACTTACAGTTTGAAGATTTGTGATTGTATTGGGTCTTGAAAGAATTTTTTGTAGGTTGCAAGTGAGCAAATGAAAGCAATTTAGGATGTGATTGTACGGTAGTGTGAGGCTGTGAAAATTTCATGATATGTTAGTCAATGTTCAATAATGAATCTCATCAATTCAATGGTCTTGCAGATATTAATGACAGCTGTGATATCACAGCTGCAAGGTCTTGTGATGCAATGGATTCTTGAGAAGTGATGAATGAGGAGAAAAGATTAGACTTACAGCAAGTAGATTATGGAAACAACCACTGACCACGCTAGTTGTCTCTTTTCTGTGCATAGACACTGTCAGTAATTGTCAAGATGAAACCAGAGCAAATAGCAATGATCTTGATAGCATCTTGACAGAGGAACTCGAGTGTTTAGAGGGTTTGAGATTCAGGAAAGGTTGCAAGAGGAAGAGGAGGAATACTTACAATGTCAAGCAAGAAGCAATGGAATGAAAGCAATCTAAGAGACAAAATAGCAGATAGTCGCACTATCCAACTACTTTTGCTTGCGAAGAAGTGTTAGCCAAGACGTTGATTCAAAGTAATCTTGAAGTTCTCTGGAGGTAAAATTTCAAGTCAGTGAGAAACTTGAGCTTTGAAGCCTTTCAGAAGAAAATAGAAATTAGTACTTACAAGAAGAAGTAAATAGATTGCAAGTTCTAGCAGATGTTGCCAAGTTTAATTCCACTTGCTTCTTAAGTTTGAAGTGATATTGAGAGGTCTTCCACAACCTTAGAGGTCGGAAACGTGTTGCAGGTTTAAAGTTCAATTGTTAGAAAGATCTTAGTCAAATAGAAGAAAGAAGTACTCCTGTTCTTCAGGAAGAAGAAGAAGTACAGGAGTATTGATTTGGGAAACTGTAGATGCCAATTCTGAGCAAAAATTGTTGTGTTGCTATGTCATGGAAATATTGTTGTGATTTCAAGAAAGAAGATGAAAGAAGAGTCGGGAAACATGGCGGTCAAGATAGTTGTTTAGCCATGTTTATTTCTCGGATTCTGCCGAGTGGTTAATTCACAAGCTTAAATTATATGATTGGTTACTCGAGAGGGCAGGGGAATCAGAGGCGAGGCTGGTTGTAATGAGAGGTATGAAAGAGAACCCGGCTGAAGTGAGGATGAGTATGGCAAGTGGACGAAAGACTTACAATTGACAAAACACCACAACAAAAAGCTCTTTAGGTGAGTAATTTCTGAGGGAATCTGATCTATCAAGCTTATAGTTTCCTATCAGCTAGTTGGCACAAACTTGCAATCGATTTCAGAATAAGATTATCATGGCGGCGGCGGCAACAAGAAGTCAACGTGTATTCAGCTCGCTGAGGGGAAGTAGCCTCGCTTACCCGATTCTATGATCAACAACCTCGAAGGAAGTCGCCATTTTGGAGAGACCATTGGTCCGCAGATGGAGTTATCGGTGGTGCGACAACGATACTATGTTCTGTGGCTCCTGTGTCTAGTTTGACGACGCTCATGGTGCCAGGAAGAAACAAATTGAGATGTTGCGGTTCCAGAATCTGCGGATGGGGATGAGAATGGCTGACAGATTAATAGCCCTATTCATTCCGACGCGGGCTATGTCATTGTATACGTTCATATACACACCATGAAGCTTCCGCATGCATATAACTGAAGCGCAGAAGGCCATGAGGCGACGCTAGGTTCTGGTGCAACGTTTTGAACTGTATGAAGGAGCCGACGGGAGAGGGAACGAGGTGGTGCTTTTACATCTTTACATAGAGAGAAAGAGATTTGCGATGTCGGAGGGGAACTTCTAGCACATGTGTGCTTGGCATAGCACAGACTTGTTCGTTGATGAATTCACCGAGTGGTAGTGAAGATGAGGGCTTATTCACGAATGAAGTGTTTTCACTGAAGAAAAATCTTGTGAGGCTCTTCGAGATGGGGATCAGACGGCCAGAATCAATGATGCAAGTGAAAATGGTTCATCACGGAATTTGAGACGAAGCTGTTGGTGAATGCTCCATACTCATCACAGGGGAAATTTGATGCACGTTCAAAGGCTTTGTGGACAAGTGAAAACGACAGCGAGATGGAAGAGGAAGATTCCCGAATGCGGGACTGAAGATCGGATACACTGGGAGCTTTTTTCTGCAATGTACCTAATGAAACGGCAGCTTTGGATCCATACGCAGAATTCAAGTAGAGATAACGTCCTCGGGTGATCTCAAAGCAGGTATGTCGGGCTGTGAGTGTCTACGCCGGGACGGTAATGTTGATATTCTAAGTTCAAAAATATCACGAACAAGGAAGTTCAGTCTTTAACTAAGTAGAAGCAATCATACATATCTGAATTTTAGGAGAAAATATGAGCAGCCCTAATAGTTCTCAAGCAAATACAAGCAAGTGAAGACTGTGAGCGCCAAGAGGTGGAGACATCTAAGCGAGTTAGTTGAAAAGCAAAGGCATTCATCTGGCCATCACAAATTCACTTCTATGGGAATATGAAGTCGATCTAACTGGCCCAATTGGTTTTAAAAGAGGGACTGTATATAAATAAGGGATTTGAGAATGGAAGAGATAGGGACGGAGAGATTTCAAATACGGCACACGGTCTAGAGAACACTGGCATTAGCGCGACCTGACATCCATCGACTTGCGTCTTAACTCGATTGGCGTTCAAATTTCGGGTCAAGTTTCTTCTTTTTTCTAAAACATGGTAATATATTTGACCATTTTTCCACAAAAAGTAGTGGGATGATGATGAATATGTAGTATTCAAGTGGGTATGGAGAACAGATGAATTTCTCAATTATTTCAGGATAGGTGTATAGGTAAGTTGAGAGAGATGATCAATTTGTGCAAATTATGGAGAGATTTTCGGAGAATGTATGGATTTTATTTCGACGGTGAATGTGATTGTTTTTTCTGTTTTTGGGGGCATCCTACATGTCAATTACGCGGATAGAAAATACAGCATCCAAAACAAGGGACCATGGCACAACGTAGAGGAATACCAAATGTCAGACCAGACTCACCAATGACTAAACATGAGAAAAGAAAAAAGATCAAACAGGACTAACATCCACGCGATCCGTTATCAAAACATAATGTCCCCTTCGTACCACTCGCTGCAAATCACCAGTATCACTCGCGATCTGTTCTTGCAACATTTTGCATGCTCGTCTGAGTGCTCCACGCGTGGCGTGTCTGTCTCTGAGATCTTGGCGGATTCCAAGACCTGGAGCGAAGCCACGAGGACCGAAGTCTGCGTCTGCGTCTGAGGCACTGCGTGAGACGTAGCGGATTAAAGGCATCTTGGATTTATTGAGTGGTGGGGGTTTTAGATAGGGTGTGGTGTTTGTTCCTAGGATGAATGGATGGAAGGGATGCATTAGTGGTTGCTGGTATTTATATTGGGGGTTAGGCATTGTTTTGGGTTGAGATGATAATAAATTGTTGTTGTTCAGAATTTCTAGTTGAGAAGTGGGCATTGTTTCGAAATGGAAAACAAGAAGTGGAACTGGGCTAACTGACGACTAAACTTAAGAAAAGGAAAAGGCTCGAGCAAGTCTAACTCCTGACCTATCCTTTGTCATAACATACTTCCCCTTAAACATTATTCGCATCCACGTACCGATATCTGTCAAAATCTGTCTTTGTAAAGCTGTGGATACTCGTTTGAGTCTTGCACGCAAAATCTGATTGAGTTATTGACGGCTTCCAAGACCTGGAGCTGAGCAACGAGGGCCGAAATCATAGCTTGGAAAAGGCATCTTGGATTTATTTAGTGGTGTTTATACCTGAGAATGAGTGAATGGGAGGGGAAGGTTGGCGTTGCGGTCATTTGGATCGTGGGTTAGGCAGTTTTTCGAGTTGAGAAAATAGCGAATTGCTGTTGTTCAGAATTTCCAGTTGAGTAGTGGGCATTGTTCTGAGATGAGAAATAATGCATTGTTTTTGTTCATCGTCAGGAGAAAGCATAGCCCAGAATATGATGGATGAGACAGTAACCTAAGTGATCGTAATCTACTGGGCTTAGATTTCTCTGGAGTAATAACAAGATGCAAATGATTGATAGAGGGTATCCACGGAACGCAAGCGAGAAGTCAGGGGCAACATGGCCGTTGGGGCCCCACAAGTTGACGACAAGTTGCTCAAATTATAGATTTGTAATGACATGGAATAGCATAATCAAATTTCAACGATACTGAAATCAAATTCGAAGAAGTGCGCGCAGGCCAAAAAAAACTTACAGCTTTGACAAAAGTCTCAACAACGTCAAGTGATTCATTGGCTAAAAAGCTTTTTATTGCAGAACAACAATCTCTCTCTCGAAAATATTTTCAATAGTTCGTTCAACACAATGCGCGATGCAAAATATATTGGAGCAACCAGGAAATACTTCCCACTACAAGATAAAGCATCATAGTGACTAAAGACACTCCACTCCCATTACGTACATTCTCTGGGAACTTTGGGCCTTCCAAGTACTAAGTTCGTCAAAGAGCTATTCCCCGTAGAAATGTACCCCTCAACGTATAATTTCATATTACTAAGTATGACTGCGATCAGAAGGAGTGAACATTGAAGGCTGCTAGGTTCTCAAAACCTTCCTTTCACCAAGCCTCGCGATTCCGGGTATATAATAAGATCTTCTCTAATCTCAACATGGACTCCAAAATTGACTGCAAATCTTGCCACTCAGGAATCCGACGATTTGAATATGCGTAAAAATACACTACAGACACTTCAAACAAGAAACAAAGAAAAAAATCACGGAGAACAACAAACGCCAATAAGCTAAAGTATATATACGACAAAGAAATCAAAATAGTAAGCGAGAATAACAACAGAATGGATAGCAAGGTTTATCCTAGGTCTAAATTCTTTCTTTACGTATGTACGAAGTACGAACCATGAAATAAGTCTTACCACATTTCGAGTCAGCTGAGTACCTAGGTAGGCATCCCCCTTCAACTTACAAAAGTCTAAATGAAGGCGCAGTCAATATATGACTACATGCTTCACCTCTAAATAGACACCTATTGAAATACGAGATTTCCTTCCGAATCGCATCACATCATATCATATCATATCATATTATATCGAACAAGAGAACATCTGTAAAAATCTAGATCTGCACCAGGATCCAGGAACAAAGTTTATGAGAAGGATGTCTGATGTGCCATGTCGTTGAATACCGACAATCGGAGCTAAAGTACGTACTCATTATTTACTTTGACATCTCCAGCCAGCACCCTCTTAAAAATCACAATCAAAATCCAATATACAAATCAATACACAAACCAAATACACAATAAACCCATCCTCACAGCCACCCAATCCATGTCCTCGCATCCGATGACTATACCATCCTTCTCCCCCGAGTCCGAAATAATCTCATGACCTTGCCTCCACGTGACAGTTGCACCCCACCTAACCCACCCAACTCACCCCCCTAAACGCTCACGAGGCTCTGTCGAGTCATCTACACATTTAAGCTACACCCAAATACCAAATACCCAAACATGATCAAACCTCAGACGTCAATCATCAAACACCAAACCTCAGTCTACCCACCATTCAAATCCATCATTAGATCACCGCTTTCAATGATGTATGTATGTAGATTTACATATCAAACTTCAAACTTCAATGCACTGAACAATAAGTAAATAAAATAGTAAATAAATACCCTAACCCTAAATAAATGAATAAAGCCTCAGTGCCGAACTAACTAACTAATTAACCAACTAACCAACCACCAGATAATAGATAACTACCTAGTAATTTATTATCTTCAACAAGCTAGGTATCTTTCTCGATTTATTAAAGTCTGTAGATCCATGAATATTCTGCTCCAATATTATATTTCTATTTCCATCTGCCAACTATCTCCCACACCTCATACAAACAAACAAAGCCCCATGTTCCAGAGGTTCCCTTTCCTTTCCTTAACATCAGCCCTACCATACCATACCATACCATATCACTCTCCTCTATAACCCAACCTCCCATCTTCCCTACTTCCCTACATCCCAAATTCCCTGCCCCCCTACCCAGTCCGCATACATGCATACAATATCTCATGCCTCAACATCTCAATATCTCACACAACATCTCAAAATCTCATATAATATCTCAATATGATTCACACTCACATTTACACCCACACTCACATTCACATTCATACCTACCTACTACCTACCTACTACCTCCGTACCGATATTGATCATCCGGACATATCAAACCAACCAACCTTCTTTCTTTCTTTCTTTCTTTTCTTTTCGTAAATTCGTGTTAAATTCCATTCCATTCCATGCTTAGACTAAGACTAAGACTACCTAGTATATCCATACTACAATATTCTTATTCTTATTCTTATTCTTATTCTTATTCCCATTCCTATTCTTATTCTTATTCCTATTCCTATTCCTATTCCTATTCCTCAAATCAAGTCATATCAAATCAAGAAAAATGCACTCACGAGCTACGCTCGCTGCGCCTTCAGTATGACTGTATCATACATAGTCTGACTATCCATCCGACTTCTGGCTTCTGACTTCTGACTTGTCCAAGATAATTATCTTTCACTATATGTGACGAATGATCTATTCTATTTCTCTATCTATTGTATGTATGTAATCTCTCTTATCCATGTTTTCACATCTTCTGTCCTCGGTTTAGAGCTCAGTATACTATACGCATGCACACGTCCAGCAGAACTCTTCTATGATTTCCACTGCTCATTTCCTCACATCATTATCCTCGAGCATCTTCATGTTTGTGGGTATTTTATTTACCAAGATGTTTTTTCCGCAGCCCGCATCTAGCGCATCTTCATTTCTCACCTCACATTCTGATGCTCCTGAAATCTCACCTCCTCAGCGCTGTTCAATATGTAATGAAGACATCGGTATTACGAATTGCGATGGAAAAATCGAAGCCGCGTATATACTTCCCTGTTCGCATGTTTTTGGTTCCACTTGTATATTGCGCTGGTTGGAAACCGATTCTCCGCATCAGAATTGTCCAGAATGTCGACGGAAAATGGTATATAAGGAGTGTGGACATTTGATACGGCCGTGCGAAGTCAGCAGTGCGCCGAAGAGTGTGAGAGAGGCGGATATGCCGAAAATGTGTTTGGGATGTAGAGGGCTGGAGGGAGAATTGAAGAGTGAAGTGGAGACGTTGCTGAAACGAGCTGAGGTGGAGCAAAGAGCGTTAACTGCGATGAAGATGCATTTTCCGGGGGTTTGGGGGGAGATGTGTAGGGAGACCGTGCGAACTGTGGGGAAGAGGGTGGAAGAGTCGAGGGAAGTGTTGAGGAGGGATATTGAGGAGCTGTGTCGGAAATATGAGAGTAGTGGGAAGAGGGAGCAATGGTAATTGTTTTCTTCGGAAGAGAGAGATATGCGTCAGATGTTATATATACCCCGGATCGGTCTTCTGTTTTCACATCATTCGCGGATGTTCCTTGGTTGAAAGGGAACTGGTTGTTATTTGTAATGCGAGAATCTTCTCGAGCAATAGAATAGACATTAGTTGTAGAGCAATAGAAACTCATCAAACCATCTTCCGGAATTCTATCATCGTGAAATTGTTCGACTCAGTCGTCTATCGGTTCCATCCTCTTCATCACTGCTATCGTCTTTGAAGCCTTCTTCCAAATCTCGACTTAATCTTCTGCCGTCTTCATCTCTGCCTCGTCGTGCATCTAGTGATAATGCTTCTCGTCGATTGTCATCCACATCAAATAGTTCCTCTCCATCATCATCATCAAAATCAATACTATCCTGTGCACTTATTCGGTTTCGATTAAAATCGGCTCTCCATGAACTTGGAAATATTGTTCTAACCACTGCGGCTTGTACTCGCTGTCGTAAACTTGTTGTTCGAGTTGAGATGGTATCTAAGGGTAGATATTGACCAGCTCTCGCTCGGTATCTTTTCCATAACGGAACAATGACGAATGATATTAGAAGATACAGAATGAGTGAAATGATTGCTGGTACTATCAAAGTCTGCGACGACAACGGTGTTAGCTTATGTTAGTTGGGATTGGAGAGAATGCCAGGGTAGTTTTCATTAATAACCTTTAGTAACGACCAAGTGGAACCCATATTGGAGGATGAACTTGTAGTTGGAGTATCTTCGTTTCCAGCAGCGTTAGGTGCAGGATGGGGTATATATGAAAACGGTGCTGATGTTCCCCCGTTCGAGGCTGCACGAGGTTGCCACGCGTTCGTCATACGATGGATCAATAGACGTGAGTTGACTTTGGTACTTTGGTACTTTGGTACTTGAGTACTTGAGTACTTGGGTAGTCGATTGGGATTGAAACTTGAGAGGTTAGAAGTTTGTTGGCACTTGGCGGCCCGTAAAGAGAGAGGGACTAAACCCTATGGAAATTGTAGTAATGTTCTAACACGAGAAGGGGGAGGGAGGTTCGGGAGGGTAAATGAACGGACAAGTAGGAAATCCGTTGGTTCTCCTTTCTTTTATTTCAAATGGCAGGTAGCGGTTATCATACCGTTCACGCCATGTTAGTAACAAATCAGCTTCTTTGGTTGGAAGTGTATGTGATTGAATTGATTGATGAATAACCAATAGACCATATAGGTGATATTGAGTTCAGCTTGTTCTCGACATTCATTCGTCATTCGCCAGGATTCAGAGAGATCGATACAAGGAGACAGACAACAGACACCAAAGATGCGTGGATGCGTAGATGCGTAGATAGAAACTGGGCGGGTATTCGAGCGGCAGCGAGCTATGGGGGTTTGGGGGCTTGCCTCCATGAATAGTAAAACGTGAGAGTACAGACTGCAGTTTATGACTGAGAGACAAGAGAATAAATGTGAAGCTTCATATAGTCATTCATATTCTTTTCGTATCCTTTCCAATATCCCATCCATCCATTTATGCTTCAACAGCACCGGGCACTTGCCATCTTATCTTAATAAAAGCCGTCCGAGGTTCCTTATCGTTATCGCATCCTTCTAACAATCTTCTTCAAGTCCGATATTCCGCTCCGGGCCAGCCCACCACCCCCAAAAAAGACACAAGCACACAAGCACATACGCACATACGCACATACGCACACACGCACACACGCACACCAGCAGTTCCATAGCTATCGGTCCCTAGTAGCACAAGAAATCAATAGTTCTCTAGAGGAAAGACTACTAGGTTGGTACAGGTACAGACAAATACAGGTAATTACAGACAGAGTAATAATAGGTCAGAATATTAATCTCTAGGTATCGGTACTAATAAGTATGTTATTAAACATTTCTCTGCAATCAGTCCAAACTACCTAGTACCTACCTACCTCGAGCCTACCTAGGTATCTCATAAATCATAAATCGTAAATTATAAACAATAATCTTACAATTAAACCTCCTGATAATAAACCTCTTTTGCTTTAATAAGGGGGTCTTACTTACTATCCATACATCATACATCATACATCATACTTCATATACCATACACCTTACACCATACACCACCACACATACAACAAAACCATTCATTTGGCTTGCTTGCTTGCTTGCTACCTTTTCCTTCATTCCCTTTAACGTGTCTAATCTACATACAATACAATACAATACAATACAATACAATACAATACACACAATATCTTTTTCTGCCATTCTTCAATTCTTCGATCCTTCTCTCTTTCGCTCTTTCTCCTTTCTTTCTTTCTTTGCGACCACTATTCTATTTGTTGTCATTGTTGTTGTTGTTGTTGTTGTTGTTGTTGATACCCCAACTCAATTCCCAATTTAATACCAGTACAGCACAGACAGATTATCTACAAAGTACATCCATCTTCCACACAGCTAGATCGCACAGGATTCGTTTCCTTGATAAAAAAAAAATATTGGGCTTCTATCGGCATCCATACATACCGTCCGTAGTCTGTGGGTCAAGGGCAAAGTGTTTGATGTACTCACAGCAACACCGAGGGAAAGGAAGTCAGTTTCAGCCTTTCCAAACGAATCTCAAGAATTGACCAGGGGGAAAATAGACTTTGGCGATAGAAGTGTGGGCAGTTGTTGGGTTCTCCAGATTCGTTCGTTCAGGATCTCGCAAAAAGGATTCACTGATTCACATACTTTTTTTCCCCATCTCAAAAGTGGTGCGTTGAAAGAATTCCATATTTCAACTGGCAAGTACATCCATCCAATCTTTTCCCCTCTCCCATGCTTCCTCATGAACAGGGCGATATTAGCTTGTACATTAGGCAAATAATCCTGTCAGTGTCGCAGAATTTAGTACAAATTCATGCTAACTATATTTGTCTGGTAGTAGTGCGACTTTGCGATCTGCCAGGATAATACTAATATTGGAACGACGCTCTCAACCTGGATTGACCAACCCTCGAACAATTGGCAAAGAGCATGATGTGAATGTTTACAATCCCTTGAGACATTGATGATTACAACAAGAGACTTTGGAGTATTGGGACAAGAAGAAAGTGTGAAGACAGTGCGATATAACGACAATCAATCATGTCATCATCTGGCAAGTCCTCCTTCTTCTCGAGGAATAAGAAGGATAAGAGGAACAACAGCGATGAAGGACGACAACTTTCGTCTGCGGGTGCAGGAAACAACGATGCAGCAAGTGGTCGAGGATCGCAATCTTCAAGGCATGCAAGAATGTCTTCTGTTGCCTCGGAAGACGCTCCCGGATCGCCTGTGACGGATTTGACGGGAATCAATACAATGGCTGGTGTTATCACTTCGATTCCCTATGATAGTGTTATGGCAGATGGCAGGTCGCCAATACCAGTGGATTATTTACCTAGGAGCGATCAAGTGCCTTTGAGGAGAGAACCACTTCCACATCACTTGAATATGAATGGAATGGATTTTCATCAATACCCCGCCTCAGATACAGCATCTATTAATGGCAGTTCACATCCTACGGGCCCTCGACCTCCACCGGTGGGAAGCAATGTAACAATGGCATCGACCGGAAATCGCACAACTCAATTACAGCATTGGGGTCCCAATCGAACGAGTATCGCGAGCACGGTAAATGGAAGTCACAATTCAAGATACGATTCTTATTCTACAAACCAGTCCTCGAATTATGGTGGCCGTATTTCCTTCGATCAGCAAAGCATAGATTCTATGACTGAAAGATCTAGCGTTCTCTCATCAGGGAGTTCTGCGAAAACGGCTTTACCAGGTTCCTACTCGAATGGTTCGTTATCGCCATCATATCAGCCAGGAGCAGGAAGAGATCAACGAATAACAAAATTGCCTCAACATCTGAGCGCAGGATATGGTTCGCCAGTCGCATCGCCAGACGGATTCAAACTCAACAAGCCCAACGACGACCGGGTTATCGAAGAACAATTCTTGTCACTGATGCAGAAAAGAGGATGGCACAACTTACCCGATCAAGCGCGCCGACAAATGATGGCTTATACTCCGGCGAAGAAGTGGACTTTAGTACATCAAGATCGCTTAACTGAATGGCAAGGAGAACAAAAAAGGCGAACGAATGCTCGGCAAACAGGTCAATATGGTTCTGCTATGGAAATGCTTCTAAATGCAGAGGAAGAAGGAACTCCGGAATGGTTTGTGAGGAAGGTTATGGACAACAGCATATCAGCGAAGCAATTACAAAGTCTGGCAGTCAGTCTTCGAACTCAACCAATTGGTTGGGTGAAAACCTTTGTGGAATGTCAGGGCCAGGTTGCTCTAACCAATGTACTTGGGAAAATCAACCGGCGACAAGCTCAAGGACCGACTGGGCCAGAAGGATCGATCAGTGACAAGGATTTGGATAGGGAATATGACATTTGCAAATGTTTGAAGGCTTTGATGAACAACAAATTCGGTGCCGATGATGCTTTGCAACATCAGCAAGTCATTGTGGCTTTGGCTACCTCATTGGTATCACCCAGGATTCCGACGAGGAGGGTCGCCAGTGAAGTGTTAACATTCTTGTGTCATTGGGCAGATGGACAAGGCCACTTGAAGGTCATTCAGGCTATGGACTATGTGAAAAATCAACAGGGTGAAAATGGACGGTTCGATGCATGGATGCGTGTTGTTGAAGTCACTGTTGATGGTCGTGGAAAAATGGGAAGTCTTGTGGGGGCTAGCGAGGAGGTCAGAAGTGGTGGTGCCGGCATGGAGAATTTGCTCATGGAATATGCTTTGACTACTATGTTCTTGATTAATATGGTAGTTGATGCTCCTGAGAGGGATTTGCAACTCCGTGTTCACATTAGAGCTCAATTCACAGCATGCGGTATCAAACGCATTCTGACGAAGATGGAGGGCTTCCAATACGATGTTCTTGACAAGCAAATCGAAAGATTTCGTACGAATGAAGCTATTGATTATGAGGATCTTCTCGAGCGCGAGAATAGCAGTATGAAGGATAGTATCGAAGGGGAAATCAAAGACCTTACTGACCCTGCTCAAATTGTGGATGCTATCATGCAGAAAGTTCAAGGCAGTAGAACTCAAGATTACTTCGTTTCTGCAATGCAACATCTTCTACTCATCAGGGATAGCGACAGTGAGGAACGATTGAGAATGTTTCAACTTGTGGATTCTATGCTTAGTTATGTTGCTATGGATAGGAGACTTCCTGACATGGACTTGAAGCAAAGTCTCAATTTCACAGTGCAGAGTCTTTTGGATAAATTACACACGGATTCTGAAGCTAGACAAGCACTAGATGAAGCACTCGAAGCCCGCCAGATTGCCGATTCGGCTATGGCTGAAAGAGATGAAATGAGGGCTAGAATTGAGCTTGGTGCAGACGGACTTGTAGGCAAACTTCAAAGACAATTGGATGAGCAAGCACAAATCATCGAGGTTCAGCGAAGACAGATAGACGCATTAAAGGGTGAGATGGAAAATATTCAAACGGTTCGTGCCAAGGAAGCTCAAAGAAATGAGCTTGAAACTAGAGAATTATACCTCATGCTGCGCGATGCACAAGATATCGCCGCATCCAACGCTTCAAAGGGTGGAGCTGGTTTGGGTGAGACAGATCCTTCACATATGAAGGGTATATTGGATCGTGAAAGACTTATGGATCGTCTTGAGATGCAAATTGAGAGACAAAAGACACAATATAAGCTTGAGGGCAGAGTCTGGGGTGACGCAGCCGGTCCTTCTGATCGTTTGAGAGCGCTCCGTGAAGAGATGGATGGTGTAGATCATGGATCAGACGGTGGTCTCGGAGTTCCTCCGGGAGATTACACTCATAGCAT